AGGAAAAGCTCAGTCGTCACTAATCCTGCGAAAGTCGGATAGGATGATCGTTTCATCATTCTGAATGTACACCTCATAGGGAATACAACGTTCACTGTGCAGGAGCATACCTAATCGGTAACGAATGCTTGGAACAATATGCAAATTAAGGGAACTTAAAAGAAGGTAAAGGTGCATAACAAGGAAATTTGAACGTTACCAGGGTGCACAGACTGGTATACAAAATTCCAGGACATTCTATAATCACTGCTATAATTTAACTTCGTCTGTCTTTTGTTTGCTTAAATTCATTTAGGAAGCAACATTAGTTCATTTCAGAAGTTGAAGAATATCAACAAAATAAAGCAACTGGTGCTTCATGATAGCGACCTGAAGAAGATCACTGACTCACCGATACTGGAAATAGAAACTGGTTCGTTACTTTCTCCCTTATCCTCACAACCAATTAGGATCACCTCCATTCTACCTCTCATTTCCATTTCCCCTCATTCTAAAAGGCTGATCAGTAATGCGACGTATGTACTTCACCAGAGGTACAGGTACTGTTCAACTTTACCCCTAGAAACTCGAGAATAAGTTTTGCTGAAACTTTGCCTGTACAGGTTATTCGCAGGGCACATCGTTATTGAAGAATTCCCGGGATCGTGTTTGGTCGCTGAGAGAGAGGGATCGTGATTTGGCTGTGAGAAACTTTTTTGATAGTTGACTTTTCTTGTTTCACGGACGTTGTAAAGCGGATGGGGACTCGTGTTTGTTCGTTGTTGGGGGGGGGTCGTATTTTCCTTGCGCCGCTTCCTGTCTCACGTGTGTTATTTATTCCCCCCACCCTCAACAGTAGGGAACCAGGGGGGGGTCGCTCCGATCCGACCAAAATCCCCAACTAATGATGTGCCCTAGTCATTCCATGGCCTGATCACCCATGACATCCGTTTGACGCTGCGCCATACGGCGCCAGCAGATATTTGGTGCCACCATTTTCCTCACCAAAGTGGATGTAAACTGGCATAATGGGGGTTTCAATGGCTCATGACATTCATTTTGAGTGGTGCCGTTAGGCGCCATTACGCTCCAATTTGGCGCCACATCCTTTTCTACCGAAAACGTTAAAAACTTGCATAACAGGGTTGTTTCATGCCCTGAACACGAATATAGCATTCACCTTTACAGCACTTCCGTTCAAGTTAAGCTGAGCCTAAACAAAAGCAGATGGTTGTAGAGTCTCCCGTGCCTGAGCCAAGAACGAATGTCATATTTCTGAATTAGTGTTTCGAATAACCCCAGTATACAAGTTTTCATGGATTTGGGTGTTTGAGGGTGCTTCGGTGCCTGGCGCGGGCGCTAGACTTTTTGGGGCCAGCGGTTGTGATTTTTGTGTTCGGAAGGTCGAACCACCTCCGGAGGCATGTTTTCAGCGAAACTGATGATTTAGAAGATTTTGGTGCCGCCGCCTGTGGCCCGTTTGCCAAGCATTTCCATGTGATATCAGTGCCCTGCAGATCAAACCAACCCCGGAGAACGTTTTAGCCAAACCTGCATTCGCAGAAACAAGTCGGTAAAAGTAAATACCTTAATTGCGGAAGAATTGGTTGTAATAATTCGAATAGTGCCGAAGTACGCATAAGATATCGGATAGTAGTGCTTACCATGTGCGCTACCCGTTCTGATAAACCGCGGTGATTTCTTGTTATCGTGTTGTGGTTTCACAACGATGAGCGGAAGAAGAATAGAATTCGAAAGAAGAAGAGAGAATAGGGCTCATGTATCACCTCGGAAACAAATCGTTTAATTGACGTGAACGTTATGAAGAGGATCTTTAAGTGTTCTCTGTCAGGTGCGCAGATGGAATTGATTGACAACGACAAACTGGAAACTCTGCCTTTATTTGCTATGACTGATGGCCGTTTTGTCGATATTACTATCCGAGGAAATCCCAGAATGAATACTAATCAACTGCGTGAAGAGTGCCTGAAGAAAAATTGCCAGCCAAACACTATGAACAACATTCAAGAGTCTTTCAGTGAGTCTGTTACCAATGAACCATTGGGGCTGTACGTAAGGCCCTTTGAGAGTTTCTCAACTGATAAGATCCCCTACTCTCGCAATCCAGCGATCCATCGTTTTAAACTTTCAACTTTCTACCGCTTTTCCACTTAGCCCCCAAAAACAAGTCAAGCGGGGGAGGATGTGGGTGGACGTCGTCACCAATCAACTACTAATTCGAGTTCCAGATATCAGGAATAGTACTGTACTGTAGTTTGCGGCGCGGGCAACTAGAGATTAGGGTGAGAGAGCGAACATGAAATGGAAAAATCACTAATCGAAAAAATATGTGGATGAGTCCCCTTCCCTCTCAACGATCAAGTATAGTAATCTACAAATTAGTCTGACAGACTAATCTCTGAGTGAGTGTTCGTCCTTATTGACGCTACTGAAACAACAGCCCCGCATTTTCGGCGGGACGTTTGCCTTGGAACAAGGCAAGATGATCGCAACCAAGCTAAAAAGTGTTCCATCTAACAATCTTGTTAGACGGAACTAAATAAATGTAACCTCATTCCGAGGTTTCGGCAAAGAGTAGCATTAAGTATTTGTTATTCGCATTCTTCTTCTTCTTTAGCGTTTGTCCCGCTCAGCGGCGGGGTCCGCTCTTCTAATGTGACGACGCCACTTTTCCCGGTCAAATGCCTGATCGGGGTGAATTCCGGCTATTTTCAAGTCTGTATGCAAAGTATCGAGCCAGCGTTGTCTGGGACGTCCCCTAGGTCGCTTTCCGGGCACCTCAAGCTGAAGGCCAGTCTACAGAACGGTGTCAGCCTTTGCGCGAAGTACGTGGCACCATCGAAGGCGCGTTTTCTCGCATTTTGTCCGCTATAGGAGCTACGCCAAACTTCTTGGCGTATTACTTCGTTACAAATGCGGTCTAAACGCGTGACGCCCGCAGTCCAACGCAACATTCTCGTCTCATCACACTTAGCGGCTTCGACTTCTTTGGTAGCGGGCCAGCACTCGGCGCCATATAGGGCGACCGGTCGAACGACACTTCTGTAGATCTTCGACTTTAACCGTTCCGACATCTTCCTGTCGCAGACGATCCCCGACATACATTGCCATTTTGCCCACGCTGCACTCACGCCGTGCGCTCACTCCGTTTTGAGATCTCCATCGACGTAACTGCTGATCCAAATACTTGAATGTTTTTGTGGCGCGTGAGCTCAGTGCCATCGATTTTAATGGAGCCCGTCTCGGCTGGGTCGGTTGTCAGGTACTCGTCTTATTTACGTTTAACCTGAGCCCAAACTTCGCCAGGCGATAAGCCCAAGCTTGCACTTGCTGCTTTTGTCTTCACATGCAAGCATCACAACATCAGCGTAAAGGAGCGTCCAAGGATTTTCCTTCTGAAAGGTCTCGTGTAATGGCATCCATGACGATAACAAAAAGTAGTGAGAGAGAGCGGAGCCTTGATGTACCCCAGGGTAATGGGAAATTCATCGAGGTGCCTGCAAGAGTCCGCACTTGGCTCTCTGGCTTTGAATAAAGGATGCGGACCCACTCGATTAGCTCTTCAGGGACACCGTGTTGTCGCAAGGCGTACCATATAACGTCTCGCTGGACGCGATCAAATGCTTTTTCTAGATCTAGGAAGGCTACATGCACAGGCTTCTGCTTCTCACGATGTTTCTCAAGCAAAAGGCGAGCAGCGTGAATGGCGTCGATGGTGCTACAGCCAGTTACGAAGCCACACTGGTTGGAAGAGAGCTGGAAAGATGCCACGAAATACGGCCATCAACAATTCGCTCAAAGATTTTCATAGTGTGCGAGAGCAAGCGAATTGGACGGTAGTTCGAGCAATCTGCTGAACTGCCCTTCTTCTTCCATATCGGAACCGTCGTGCTTTGCAACCAGTCCTTGGGTACCTTCTTCTCTGCAGTGATTTGGTTGAAAAGCTTTGTCAACCATTCTGCGGAGTACCATGCTGTGACTTCCATAGGTCCGCTGCTAGTTCGTCGGGACCTGTAGCTTTACCAGCCTTCATCTTCTTCGGCTTTGAAGCCACGACCAATATCTCACGACTGGCAACCGGACCATCGGGTCTCCTGCACGTGCGCAGAGATCGATTCTTCGGCGCTCCAGTGCTTCAGCCAACTCGAATGAGCGCCCTGTCAAGGTCCCAACGTTTAGCGTTGCAAGGCGAGCCTTCCAAACGTTGCCAGACTTTCGGACTAGCCTAGTCGCCCCCGATGCCGTCCCTTGCATCAGGGACCCTCGCATACTTTCCACTCTCGCGCGGGCCATACGAGTGCGCGTCGGCTCCCGCGGACGCTGTAGCATTATCTCGTGAATCATGTGGCATACTTAAACATTGTGATGTGACATGGGGTGTTCGTAGCCGGCCGCGTCACGAAGGCCTGTCAGCTGCCTCGAGTTTGTCGTGTTCTGCACGGCGCGCAAAAGCGGGCAGTACCCGGTGGCACCACTTGGAGGAACGGACTTCACCACCATTTGTTATTCGCATTAACATTAAAAATTTCTATTCGTGATTGAGGAGCAATTACCCTATCTTCGGGAGTAAGAGTAGGAGTAGGCGCACCTTAGCTTTGAACGGTGCAAGTATTTCTTCCTGATTCAATGGCAAAAGTCACCTAAAATCAGAAGTTACACCTTCCCACCACCATTGTAGAAGCGTAATGCACGGCGCATACTCGGGACTAATCGACGATAACCAAATTATGCTTTGACTCAGTCCACCGGGGATACGTGTTTGAAGGCATATTGAACTTCGCGAATGAGTTTCCTTGCAATGGCACAGGAGTCAAGCTTTTGAGTGGCTCAAAGTGCCGCCCAAGGGTGAGCCACCTCAAATATCTGTTGAACTAGAAGTCTTCAGGGAAACTGTTCAGTTTGTTGTAAAAAGAGGACTCTTAAGGGTTCTGATAACGTTTAGTTTTGCAAAAGATTGCGTTTGAAAGAACTTGGACCGTCTGAAGCATGAAAACTCCTCGCGATTTACCATTAAAGCGTCCGTAACCCTCCCGAAACATCTCACGAACGGGGTGGTTCACATTTGCAACAGTAGAGACATTGCTTCATCATGTCGCCTTCCTTTGCTCAAAAGCTCCAAAAATAGAAAAGTTATCAATCCGGAAAAGCTCCGCGATTCCCACCCTGCCAACTAATGTGCTCCAACGCTAATTTGAAATGGAGTCATAACTCGGTTAGCGCTTACGAGCCGTTACGCATCTAGTCCTTTTCGTCAGAGTACGGGGGGTCGGACTGACACCGCCATTTCACACTTCGCTATGCCCTACCATGCTTATACACCAAAAAAATGCACAATTGTAAGGGTTACATTGAAGTATGAGTATACGGCCTGGTGCGCACAGTCCTGTGCGCCTGCCAAGGTTCGAGACATAACCGCCAGTGTAACTAGATGTTCCCCAGCCTTATATGAAATTTACTGTGGAATGTGCTGCAACTTCCACGTGTTCCTGTTGTACTCCTCGTTCTAAAATTGAATTTTGCAGCTTGCCCTCTGGAAAAGCCTGCACGGAAAGTGTGCAAAGTCGTTTCAAGTAACATTGATCTCACAAAATATGAGAGCGCTTACGACCAAATCGAAGTGGTAGTGGGAACACTATCGTTAAAAGAGAGCAATGTCAGCAGTTTCCCAAAGATGAAACATCTTGTTCTTCTGAAGCAGCCAGAGAAAGGTCCAGTACTCGTCATCGAAGACAACCCAAAACTCAATTCTTTATCTGCGTTGTATAAGCTTGAAATCCAGCTTCGCGATGGCGAAAAAGCTGATGATGCCATAAGTATTGGAAATAATCCGAAACTCTGCATCGACGAAATCTCAGCAGTCGAGCCATTTGTCATCAAATACCTTTCAAGAGTACCGATATGTGAGTTTATGTTCAACTATTTGCACATATGTTGAGAGCGGCGTTTACAAGCGTTTCCAGTATTAGCGTCCCGCCAGTGATCGGAATATCCAGCGAACCGCTATCCTTTCCTGGACACAGGGCACAGCATTGGTTGGGGATTCCCTATGGGGGAGTCGTATTTGGGCGCCAAAAGGGGGGGTCGTATTTGAGCTGGGAAAAATTTATTTTTATAGTTGATTTTTCTCGGTTCACAAACGTTTTAAAGGGGGGGGGTCGTAATTTGGTCGTTGTTGGGAGGGGGTCGTATTTCAGGCTAGGAGTTACGTGGTTGACTTCATGGATTGTATGAATTTTTATGAATTTTCTGTGTTATAAGTACTATGTACGCCCGTGCGATGTACGTTGCATGGCTACTACAAACCCTCCGCCCCCCGCCCCCCCCCTCGCTCGACAACTTTGTTCGCGAGTATAAAACCCAACTACAGACAGCCATGTCAGCCATCGTACGAGCGATGGGGGGGTCGTACAAACCCCTGAAAAAAAGGGGGGGGGGGTCGTAAAAGCTCGACCAAAATCCCAATCGAATGCGTGCGCTGCCTGGACATAGGATGCGTAGCTGTGTACTTGTGGGGCTGCAACTGCGCTATTGTGAGATATTGCGATTTTGGTACGGCTGTGTCATTTCTTTGTTCAGTACTGGACGGGAAGACTTTTGTCCCAAATGCAATAATCCCATAAAAACGCATCTCTCGCCATGTTCCAGTGGAGTGCACAGCCTCTGCCCTTCGCAGGCACCGCCATAATAAGAAAAAGTGCACGTACGAGTTCGCATGAAATAAGATTGAATTCACTACATCTTAGCTGCGGCAAAAGGGAAGTATAAATGGTGTCTTGTGTGCGGCATTCGCACCCTTCTTATTGGTAGTTGATGCATGCTGCAGCGTGCAAAGTCAACTGACCGCGGAATGTTGTGCTAGAATGCGAGCGATACTGCGAATGATTCGTCCTGATGCACGCCCACAAGTGGCTAACTTGGTCTTCGTCGTTAGAATGTTTTCAACGCTCATGTGGATGGTGCTGGAACGCATATTTCGCGAGAAATTAGCGAGATGATTGTGGCAGTCGGATACATGGCGCAGTACAGAGAGAAGGTCAAACAGCGTGAAACTAAGTGATCCCAATAATTTCGACAAAAAAATGTGTTCCAAAAGCTTGCTCGATCTTAGAGCAATGGGACTGCCCCGGAGATGCGGTCTTTTGAAACTAGTCACAAGAAAATCTTAACGGAAAATTTTTTGAATATCAGCTGCATCACCTGTGCTCCCGTTGATCATCGAGTTCCTCGAGCAGGCGCCTAACGTCTACATACGTCCCTGCAACGTGCCAGAGTTGCCCAATGGTCTCTCTCTGCTCGGCACACGATGAACTTCAAACCATTCGTTCAGAGCTTTCACGAAAAAGTCTGACCATCGCATAGGCGGTCGTCAGGCTTTCGCTTGACATCCCGTGGAATCCAGTCGGTGATCGCTCTGATCCAGCGGTCCTTTTCGGAGAGCGCTACTTGATCTCGCTGACATGCAACTTCAGATCTTCTATGTGAGCTCCTGATGCAAGCGCCGTGCGATGAAAGTACAGATCGTCATCCTAGTCCTGGGCGGCCTAAAGCTCCGCTGGCCCTGTGATTCTTGCAGCCTCGCCCAAGCGGTCCCAGCCGACGTCTCCCTGTCGGTGGTTCCCTAAGGTACAGGGGAAGGAGGCCCATAACTATTACTGTTCTCGGCGAGAGGAAATTTAACCACGCGTAGCTCGCGAGGCTCTGACGTGGCACCCTCCGCATTGCTACGGTTTGGAACAGTCCAAACCGTTCACCCCCACGCCACGTTGAGGCTGCGGATAGGATTTGTGGGGGTTTTTGAATGGTAGGAGTAACTAAGGGTTCTACGAAAGGGGACTCCCTCTAGATTCCGCTATTGTTTTTGGTTCCTCGAAAACGGAACGGCCAGAAAGTCATGGCTGCTCAAAGCAAGAATCGTGGATGACTCCGACGTCAAAACGAGGTCACAGGAGGGAAAGCTCCCTAAAAAGGAGGAGTTCGAATGCGCGCAAGCACAAATAATGAACTGTAGGCTGAGGGCTTCACAACCACATTCTCTCTCCAGAAGCTCCTCTCTGAAGCAAGTTACGAAAATTCGAATGAAGAGTGCTTCGGGATCTACTTTGTTATAACGCAACTGACAGTTCGCTTCAGTAAAAACGTGAAGTGTTTGGATTTCGCGCGCAGTTTCTGAATGTGCGCGAATGATTAAATTTTGAGTACATATCTTACGGGACGGGTGAAACGCAACGAGAGGCGCCTTTGGAGGGAGTTTTATTCAGCAGAAATTCATCACAACGAGTTGCCGTGCCCTGGCTTCAGCATCTTTGCGGAAATGAAAAGCGAAGAAGAACAGGTGTCAAAAATGCTGCTCCCTCCCACCAGAATAATCCATTTACGAGAGTGCTCAAAAACAAAATATACAGAAAGAACCCCCCCCCTCCCCGACAACTTTTTCGCCGAGTATAAACCACAACCACAGTCAGCCATGTCAGCCATCGTACGAGCAGTGGGGGGGGGGGGGGGCTACCAGCCCCTGAAAAAAAAAACGGGGGGGGGGGGTCTCCCATCGTGCCCATCGAATGCTGGTGCCTGGAGGCAATGCTCGTTCGTCGACAATTAGCCGTTGTTGTGCCCACTACATATTATGGAGATTATTTTCGATTTCCCTAAAAGAAACGAACATCAAATGAACAAACAACTTGAAGATTTCTACATGATCAGAGCGAGACATCGCGGCCCATTAAACAACAATGCAGTAATATGCTTAAACGGTTCGCGATCAGTATCACCTGTATCACCTGTGCTCCCGTTGATCATCGAGTTCCTCCAGCGGACGCCAGTAACGTCTCCATTCGTCCCTGCAACGTGCAAGAGTTGCCCAATGAACTCTCTCTGCGCGAGGGACACGATGAACTTCATACCATTCGTTCAGAGCTTTCACGAAGAAGTCTGACCCGCATAGGCGGTCGCCAGGCGTTCGCTTGACATCCCGTGAATCCAGTCGGTGATTGCTCTGGTCCAGCGGTCATCCTCGAAACGCAGGACTTGCCCGGCCCACCTGATCTTCGAAACCTTGGCAAAGCAGCGGGCGTCTCTGATCTTCGATCGTCGGCGGAGTGCAGAGCTCCGGATTCTTCTCGCACTTGCTTGTAGCGGGAACTCCGAGCACGACCTTTCGATGGCGGCGCTGAATAACGCCAACTGCATGCTCATCTTGCTTTCGTAGAGTTCAAGTCTCTGAGGCGTATGTCAAGGCAGGAAGGACCGCGGAATCGAAGAGGTGGGCACGGAGCTTGGTATTCTTCGTCTTCTTCGCCACTCCCCTCGATGTTTTTGAAGGCTCCAAGCGGCTCGCTCCTCCTGCTCAGCTCTGGTGATAAGTCATTCATCATATTGATTTCACGACCTCAGGTAAACATAGCTAGGCATTCAGAGATGTTGTTCCGTTGAGCGTGAATGGGGCATCGAAAACCAATCCGTTTCTCATGAACATCGTGTTCGTTAGATTCAGCTGTAGACCATTTTTCCACACGCGCAGTCGAATTCAGTCAGCATTCGTTCCGCTTGCCGATGTTTGGTGTTATCAAAACGATGTCGTCAGTAAAGCGGAGATGGTGTAGTTGCCGACCGTCGAACTTCACTCCCATGTCTTCCCATTCCACTTGACGCATGACCTTCTGAGAGAGGCGCTGAATAGCTTCGGCGAGATGATGTCGCCCTCTCTACCCTCTCCGAGATCATCATCGACGTGAAGAGAGGGGTCCTGTCGGACCACTCTCTTCACGTCGATGGCTCAGGGCTTCGATAAACTAGAGCTAGAGTTTTGACGATAACTGGCGGAGATTCTTCAGATTCTCAAGGTCTGATCTGTCGGGACCGGGTGGCGTACGGTTCCTCACGACGAGATGTCATGCGGACTTCGGAAGGGAGAACTGCAGGAATGGACATATCTAATCCTGCTCCAGGCGTTATTGCTGCAGGCGGACGTGGCTCAGAAGATCCGAGTAGAAGTCGTGGGATGATTTCTCCATTTCCCTTTTGGATGCTGTGATTGTTCCATCCGGACGTCGGAGCGGCGCGTCATCTTGGTCTTACAGTGGCGAAGTCGCGGCGCGTTGCGTATGCTTTCCCAGCGCCTCTGCAGCTTCCACCAGTACTGCTATTCTTCTCTCCTTGAGGTCTTCCTTTAGTCGCTTCTCTGCATGGCTTCGCCATGCTCAGACGTCGGCTGTTTAATTGCCTGTGGCTCGTGCGGCTCACGTTAGCAAATCAGCTCGGGAGTTTCCAAGATAGACGCCTTCTTGGTAATCTCAGAACTCTCTGACTTCTTGGCGCAGTCGTATGTGCCGACAAGCCGTTTCGTGTTCCTCGTCGATGTTGTCGATGAGGAATCCTCCCAGAGTCCAGCGAGATAAGTGAAGTGTCCCAGTTGATGACGGTCTCGGGCTTCGCTTTCTGAACTTTGCGGCTTCTCTCGTCTCTCCTCGCATCGAAAAGCGGAATCTTGCGCAAAGGAGACGTGGTCGGATCCCGTGTAGAACTTAGGAACAACAGCGACATGGTCAGGCAAAACCTTCGATAAGATGATGTGGTCGATCTCATTATGAAATTGTCCACCAGGAAACTCCCATGTCCAGCGTAGGAGTAGGGCTTCTGGAAACTGCGAGTTACCATGGATGGTATGGGTCGACATGATTAACTCAGACAGCCTTTCACCCCTGCCTCATTCCACTCCATTCCGTGAGCTCCGATGTGAGTTCTTCAGCCCTTCTTCTTGGTCGATCTTGCGTTGAAATCACCGACGATGACTTTAAGAAGGTATGTCTTCCTTGTAGAACTCTCCAATTCCCTTAGACCGCTTCGAGCTCATCCTCGTCGTACGCTTGATGTTGGTGCGTAGGCGACGAAGATTGTCAAAGCCGGAGTTGAACCACATCTTCTCATCGACAAACTCCG